CAAACATGTACTTTTCTCCTTCTCCTCAGGTGCTGCACCATCTGAACGAGCTGGGGGACGGCCTCTGTCTCAAGTTCTCACGGCGAAAATATTCCTCCCGGCCTGACCTCTGCAACGAGACAGACTTTGAGCTGGACAGCTGATATGACCCTTGACACCTTCGCTTCACAGTGTCAAAACTAAGTCTATGTGTCCATGCCACAGCAGACCCTTAAACGCACGACGTCCAACAACATCCGCGCGTCTCACTGCAGAAAAAGGGGCCAAATGTTCAGCAGCTGGGTTTTGAAATGTTTATAAAAGATTGTGATTTAACAGGACACCTATTTATGCTTCTAAAAAACTATATGAGCTCTTTAGATGCTTTATTTCTGAATGCATTAATTTGTGAATACATAAATGAAATTATTTCAATGAATTTCTAAGAATTGCTGTATTTTTCTTATTGATCTATTTTTATATTGAGATAAATCACATCAGATGTTTCTTCAGCTCAGAAGTTTAGTTCCACTCCACATTTGAAAATTATTTTTGTTGATATTGTCTACGTTTTTTGTTTCTCACAAATTTTTATCTTTATACCATATCTTTAAAAAAAGCTGTTTGTTATTAATAGAGAGTGATGCACATTTCCAGAGAACTTAGAAGCAAGGATCCCATTTACTTCCTCAGCATGAAGTAGCAATAAAAGAGGCATGTGTAGTTTAACAACCGCATTGCTAAAATTTTAAATACCTAAATACCACGCATGTAAACTTCCTTTGTGTGTTTTGGAATAGGAAGGATGATAAATTATCCAAATGACAGCTTCAGAAAGTCCCGACCTTTCCCTCAAGGAATTGTGTTCGTTCATTCCCGACAAGTGATTATTTACAAAAAATGACAAAGATGCCTTCATTGTGTCCATAGTGAAGTTATGTTTTCATAAAAAAATTCCTCAGTGTATCACCTCTTTCATCACCAGAGTAAATGATAACCTTCCTTTAACTAATGGATCACGCTGCAATTACTTCTTTGACATGTCGATAAATTCCAACAACAAAAGAAAAGGTGCTCCGGCTCGTTTTGTGGTGAGACTTCTCATATTCACCGAGTCTTTACAGTTTAATCGCTGAGGTTTTTAAGACCTGCTGTTCTCGCTCACACACACAAACTAGAATGGTTGTGAAGGTGAGCATGCAGCGAGTGCGGTACCTGAGCCAAAAGCCTAACCTAGCAATTAGCACTGAACTCCAAATTCTTGTGGTGTGGGGTAATCATTTGATTATCACAGAGAGGATTATACACGGATGATAAATGTGTTTTTGCAAAGTGTCAGATTGGATCTAGTCGACGCTTGTTCGCCTTGCGGATGTTACCATGTTTGTGTTTTTACCTCGTAAAAAAATGTAGCGATGACATTTTGTTTGATGGGATAAAAACACAAAATGCAATCCTCTGGAAATATATAGTAAATGAACTGCAGACACATGAAGAAAGTTATACGTTTAAAAAATATATATTTTCCCCTAAAGGAAAGAAAAACAATTGAAATCTAGGCTCTATGGTGGATCACTTTGTTCTGTCAGTGAATATTCACATCTGGGTCCCATAGCCAGAAACAATACAAGCAGTTCCTTTAATCCTCAAATCTGTGATGTCATACCAGTGTACTGTTCCATACAGATCTGGAGGAGACGGGGGAAAGGTGGCCTCAAATGTTGCACCGCCGCCCTCAGGATGTCTGCTATTAATTTGTGTTTACTTTCACCTTTCGTCTAACTGCGAACATTGTGAAATTCATCGCAGGTTTACGGCAGAGGACAGATGTGCGTAGAGAGGAACTCAAACAACACGGTGTGTAACAGACGTGGTGTTTAAACGCTGAGCTCCACTGTGATTAAAGGCAAACTCCAACTTGCTGAGATTTACCAGCGGCGTTGTTGTACAGTTGTATAGAAGGAAGAATGCAGGTTTAGGAAAACTCAGCTCTGAGGATGAGTTTGGAGAATGAAATTCATTCAGGAGGATATTATGTTGTTTTTGTTTTAGATGATGTTCAGACTTTGCATTTACTGTAAGAAACTGAATTAAAACGCAGTGTGGAGAACAAATGTGTGTAGTTACACTGATGGAAGCTTTATGAAAACCTACAACAGCTCAACTTTCTCCAGGTCAGTTTGTATAATTACCATCTTTAAAAGGAAAGAGCACAGTGGTTGTCAGCGAAAACAAAAGTTCACACTCACATATATCTTAATACATTCAGATCCTGCGTGTTACAAAACTCATGCTGGCTCCCAACCCATTTCAATCTTTTAATAAATGTCAGAAATCATTTTAAATATTTTTATTTCTAATGGATTATCAAAGCTGGAGTTATTGGAAAGAATAATGGTAACCCACATTTGCTATGAGGCAAGGTGGGGAGCACATGTCCTGCCAAAGCTCCCTCCAGTCACTTCTGACTGCCCTCGCTTTCAGCAGAAGTGGCAAATGGCCTGCGCTGGCATTCGAAACATCTGTGCGGCCAGACTACTGGTGGAGAGGCCCCAGAGACCTGCCTGCCTGCACCAGCCTCTTTTGAACTGCAGATCCAAATACACTGCGCTTATTGGAATGGCATGTAGCTGCTATTCTGAAGGGGGATCCTCCGCCGCGACCCTTTGATGTCCACCACTGTGTCCAAAGCAGCCGAGGCCGTTCTCAGCGCTCTCTGTTTCCCATTTAGACAGAGATTTTTCTATTCTGCAGAGTGATTTTTGAAGTGAGGCAGACAAAAGACAGATTTACATGGTTTGGACAGCTATGCCCTGCTCGGAGTAAAAAAAAACTGTAACTGAAGACTGTACACTGGGACATGCATGTTAACAGTTTGCAGAATAAAGATGGCCAAGATAAAACCAACTTTGATTCAAACAGAAAACGACTTGGTGCATTTGCCAGATCAGAAATCTGTGAGGAACAAAATTCACACCTGTCACATTTCCTTCTGCCAAGAGATGTGAGTGTTTATATAATGATGTAGTCATTAGGGTTTCTGAGTTCGCTCTGGTACTGGATGAAGAAAATGTGGTGAAACAGATAATGGATAAATATAATGAAATAAGAGTCTCCATGTTAAAGGTTCAGTTGTAGAATTCAGTGACATCTAGTGGTGAAGTTGCATGGGACAGCTGAATACCCCTCCCCTCACCCTCTCCTTCCAAACATGAAAGAGAACCTGTGGCAGCCTTCAGTTGTCATAAAAACTCAAAAGGTTTAGTTTGTCCAGTCTGGGCTACTGTAAAAAAAACAAAAATAAAACATGGCAGCCTCCGTAGAGAGGACCAGCTCCCGATGTAAATATAAAGTATTTAAATATATAGTTTGTACAATTTAGATGAAACACACTAGTGAAAACCTCACTATGATTAGTTTATATTCAATTTCTGCCAAAAGATCCCTCTCATCTAAATCTTACACACTGAACCTTTAATCCAGTCCAGGTTGGACTAACCAAAGAGCAGTCATTTCTGAAGATAAACTGGTTTAATATGATCTAGACTGAGAAAATGCAATGAAATCATTTTCTTTATCTGTTTGTCACATGTAGAATTAAGCTTTCACAAATATCAGCCCTATCAGACATCTGTTAGAGGGACTGGTGTAGCTTTATTTACAATACAGAGGCTTTAATGACTGAATGAAATCAGAAATCTGGCAACATTTTCTTCAAAATCTGCACCATCTGCTGCCAGTCACTGACTTTCTTCAGAATAAGTAAACTAAGCTGCCACTCAGGCCACGTTTGCTCACAGGGCCTTCTGGAACACATGGGCATCAGATGGACTCATGGCAGTCACACCACATCTCAGTCGGAGGTGAGCAAACTTGTCAGGATTATTCTGAAAGCTGCATTTCACTCAAAGTCCACATGTGGACACCTGAAGCTGTAGTGACTCTTAGTGGCTTTTTCATGGGCTTGTATTCTGCATATTCAACACACTCAGTTCATATTGATACGAAGTGACGCAGCAGAAACGGCATCAAATGCAGAAAGTAATATCACATTCATTTTTGTTATCTAATTAGACTACAGGAGTGTAATTTGGATGATGCTCTGGCTCTGCTGCTGCTCCAGAGTTGTGTGTCATGTGTAATTTGGCTGTGACGTGCGACAAAACCCAATTATCAGTGTGTTTGAAACATTCCCTCCACTCATCCTTGAAGAGCAAACTGTTAGGACACAGCAGAATCAGATGTTGGCGTCATTGTCTCTTAACTTTATTGTTCCTCTTGTGCCCAAACTGAACGCACTGACTTGAGAGTTGACAAATGATATTAGGAGGGCTGGGCCTTCTGTTCTTGGTTCAGTCTCACGCAGCAGCAGCATCCCTGCTTGGTGCATAATTTGACACTGCAGCGATCTGCCCTTTGAAGAGGGGGCAACAATAAAAACCAAAGTCTCACGAGGGCTTAATCACATTAGGCACCATTTGTCTTGCTTTAGTGAAGTGTCACAGCACCTTCCGCACACTGAGTGTTTTGGTCACAGACATGGGACAAGACAGCCGCTGCTGTACACACGTCAACAGGAGAGGCGGACCTCCTGGAACGCGCCTCTGGGTAACTTCCTGTGCGCACAGTGCGCCTGAGGGGACCACCAAGGCTCGTTGAGGATGTGCCTGGAGTCCTTATTGAGTTTAGTTGCTCTTTTTAAAATTATAACGTGTGAGGATGACTTGATTTCCATTAGTGATCTAATGCTTGTTAAAATAGGGGAATAATGTCTCCCTGAGATATTTAATACTTTCAAACGATCATGTCGTTTTCATCATTTGACTTTAAAATGACTTTAATGTGGAAATGGAGCATTACAAACTTTTGGAGTGTTTCTCACAACTTCAAGAGCAGCGAGGCGGACTCCAGCAGTTCAGGGGAGGACTGAGGGGGGGGCGAAAGAGTTAACCAGGGGGAGGGCGCTGGCGCAGGGGGCGTGTGGTATAAAACCACCTCAAGAGCGCACAACAAGAGCAGCGTGTGTGTCTTCTCGTGGCTCGGTGTGGTTTGACTGGTTTCCTCCTGCAGGACTTTTTGATTTCGGTGCGCTCTCAGTCACCAGCAGAATGGATGAATACCGTTTTTGAAACACAACTCCACCGTGAAGTGAGATCCTTGTTTTTTTTATTTGTTCTATTACCTGCACTTTGTTTCCCTCTGAAGTTGAATCTCAGTCTAAAAGCGCTCTGGTTGGATGGTGCAGAATGTGGACGGCAACACAAGACGTGCGTAAAGCGCCTGAAGTGGACGCGAGGAAGTGCCAAGTGTGGGGCTGCTGAGAATGTGGCGGGGACACCACGGGGCGACTGGGCTGCAACTTTCCTGAGCTTGGAGAGGTTTTTTGGGCGCAACAAGAGCGGAACGTGTCCATGCTGTGCGTAAAGGTCCCGCACCATTCAGCTGCAGTTGGCAAATCAGCGCATGAAGTCATGTCATCTTTGGCTTTAAATTAAACCACGTGAATAATCAATAGAAGAGGACAACTCCACATTTATGACACAGTTTAGAAAGAAAATCCACTGGATCACATTTAACCCATCAATCCTCACTCAGGTTATCTGACTCCCCCCGCTCCGATCCAGTTCCCTTCTTTCTTTCTTTTTTTTTTTTTCCTTTTTGCAATTCTGATTCCCGAAGTGGCTCCGAAGTGGTGTTGCGGCTCCTCGTCCCCGGCGGATCCGGAGATCGGAGTCTCTGCACCGGGAGGAGGCGGAGCCGGAGCTCCGGCACCAGCGCACGCTCCCAAGAGCGGCCGCGTCAAGAGGATGGTGCGTCTGGCGGCGGAACTGCTGCTGCTCCTGGGACTCCTTCTCCTCACCTTGCACATCACGGTGCTGCGGAGCAGTCCGCTGCCGCAGGGAAATGTCACTCTGAGCCTGGATCAGGACACAGCACTTACAGAGGTGAGTCAGGGAAACACACCCGTACTGAGGTGACCTGAGGGGGTCTCATTTGGTCACAGATGAGTTTGATAAAAGTGTTCACAGGAGCCATTGGCCCGGGTAACTTAAGTCCACCATTCCTGCCAGCCTGTGGGGATTGATGACATACACGGATGTGGTCTCCCTGGGGTGTCCCCCGGGGGGAATGGCAGGGAGCCGGCAGAGGGTTGGAAGATGAGGCGGGGTCAGAGATCAGCCCCCTTATACCAGACACACCTCCCTATTGTTGGGGGGGTTAATGCTATAGCTGCAGGCACTTCTCTGTCATCATTGGCTCATCACTGTCATCCAAGTGCTCACTTGAAGAGCCCTGCCTGTGTGCACCCCCCCACCCCCCCACTCTGACCACTACCACACATTTCCTATAGACAATAAATCAAATCAATAAAAATATAATTTCCGATCTGTGTTCCAGTTGAGAATGTGTCCCAAAAGAAATGAACAAGGGAGACATTTGTCAACATGACACCACTTAAGACAGCTTTAATAGTTTAACTGGCCATTTTAACATCAGCAGAAAGCACACAGACTCCAGCAGAGCCCCACATCCTGACCTGAGGGTTAAGACGGGTGTGGGATCAACAGGCTCTTTTAGAGCGTGTTAAGCACATCCTTCAGCTGCTTTCTGATGTATATTTAGCAAGCTACTGAAATACTGTCTTCATTTCCCTCTGTGATAAATGGGTATTTATATCAACTGGAATGGCGTCCCTTCATAAATGTTTTATTGGGGCTTGGGGGGTGGGGGGGAATGAATGGAAAGAATTTTTAACTCGACAGAGGATGACGATGGTAATTTCTCTTAACTCCACTGTGGCTGCTTTCGCTGTCCATTGACCTGCAGCGAGCCTGTGTCCGGTCGGATATCAGGACATGCAGAGCTGAGGAAATATTCCAGGAATTCATCAAATGTCTGTCACACAGCCAAACGCTGGATGGGACTGGCAGCCAGAGAAGCAGGAGGCAGCTTCTCCTGAGGAATATTTACAGTCCTAAGAAATACCGAACACATTCCACCCATTCCAACCTCGCTTTTGTCATAAGTTCACAATTACATAGAGATCCTGGCTTGTGATGAAAGGACCCGACGTTGCCCACCACCCATGCCCCATGTCGAGGCAGGCGCTGAATCTTTTTCCTTTTTTTTTTTCTTTCTATGAGTGGACATGCTTCGCTGCTCCGCCATTGAGCACGGTGATGTCATCTTTCAGTCATGGCTTGTCACGGCCCAGGGGGTGTATTGTCATCCCAAGGTGTCATATTCAAAATAGCATTCACAGAAACACAAACACAAAAGAAAGGATGCGGCTCCGTGCACCTGCAGTGGGCAGAGGAGACTCTCTGATCTACAGCACAGGAGTGGAAGTTCATCCTCTATAGTCAGTGTGACGTCAGACAAGAACACACAACTATTCAAATTAGATGTGATTAGTAATGCGGTGAATGATAAATCATGCTTTTGCACTTTTCAACATTTCTCTTAAACAGTCCCCCACGTTACGTCTTTGTTAGATGGTGTAAATGAACACATACATTCAGCCAGTGTGAGGCGTGTGACAGGGGAAGGATAGTTTTCTCCTCCACCTACAGAAGTGCAGCGCTGAAAAGCATCTGGCACAATGTGCACTGCCTTCATTTCCTGCCAGCATCCCCGGGGGGAAGGACCCCTGAGTTGCTCCGAATTGAAAAAGGAGTCATGCCCCTTTAAGCAGCCCTCACAAAGTGAAAAGGGGGGGAAGCGGGAAAAGAAGAGCAGATACTGTGAGGAGGGAGGGGGGGGCTGGCTTGTGTATGCAAGTGTTCATTCATGGCTTTTTGAGAGAGTGGGGGGGTGACATCCTGGGAGGCCCCAGATGAACTGAGGGATGGCGTGTCACTTTTGATCTCCAAATTAAAGCGTGCTCGTCGTTGAGGAAGAGCTCAGATGAGTGATGGGGACTGTAAAGCAGCCGCCATCAAAGAGGAACTCGACTGATTGTTTTAACATTTAAATGAGTTACAATTGGAGTTTTTCAGACGGGACAGAAAGGGATGTTTATGTCGACATTATCAGGAACCAACTTTACACAACCGCCATTCCTTTCTGATGAGTAATCCCTGCATCCCCTTTGCATTCTTTCCATTATGTCCGACTCAACTCGATGTCCTCAATCACTCTGCTTGAGGCAAAACCAAAAAGTCAGTAATGGACGTATAAAACATCACACGCACTGCTAAACTCCCAGATAAAAACACAGATTATTGAATTTTTAGCAATCATGGGAAAAAAATCACAATTTTACTATTTGCAATTTGGCTCAAGACTTCATGTGTTTATTTTAGGCTGATATTTTTCTGTTTTAGCAAAACTTTGGTATATTTACTAGAGTGAGAAAATAAACACATTAAAGAAAGTGAGAGAATAGCATGTGAGCTATTATAAAATTCCTTTGGCATCCATTGTATTTGAGTGGCTGAAATCTATTAGACATAATATATTGAATAGAAAGTTTTCTTTGAGGAAATAAAACTTTTAAGTTCAGTCAAAGGTTCTTTGTAGATGATTCTCTATTATAGACCAGAGAAATCATTTCTAATGAAATAAAAGCTTCTAACTCACCCACATGTGGCTGTTATGGGCAGATGTTACATTTTGGGTTTCGGGCAAGTAAAGGAAAAAGCAATATGGCACGTTACAAAGTGAAAACTGGTGATTGAATTGTCTCTTTCAGTTTTTTGCAAACCTTTATGAATGTGATAAAACATTATCTTAGTTCATTCTGTCTCAGTTTGTAACCTGTGTGGCCGTTTACAGAGAACTGTCTATCAGACAGCACAACAGGAAATATACCTCAATATCTGAGTTTGGTGGGATGTGTTTTTAACATGAAACTCACAACAAATACAAGGTTTAGAGGTTTAAAGAAAATCTTCAAAATCAGTTAGATTTAATGTTGCTTTCCTAATTTTCTAGTTTCATCCCCGAAGCAGTTAAATATCAAATTATTATCCCCCTGCCATATTCAATACATTATTTTAAAATTGAACTCTTGTGCTCACAAATGAACAAATTCCCCGTATTTACCGGCGGACTTCATCTTCCACTCTGATTGAAATATCATCACAAAGCACCGCCCCGGGATTAATCGGAACACTTTGAAGTTTGACTTTGAATAAACCAAATTTGTGTCAGGATTAGATTATCAGCCCGCCATGTGTAATACAGCATAATATGACTCAACATAACATTCAGATGGGATTAGTTGGATAATGGGGGATTAATCTGGAAAATACTGTGACTGGGTTTCCTGACAACAGCGCACACTCTGAACCGATTGCTGCAGCATCTGCTTTGCTTTTAATAGACCAACTCGTGGAGAAAGTAGGAAATCGTTGCTCAATAACAGTGATTTTTGTTTTGGTTTTTAATCAGTAGCCAGAGCATCATTGGATGAATTTCCTTAAATGTCAGCTGTTATAGATGAAAACACATGCCAGTCTTGTAAAGGCCAAACAAGAGAAACGCTCTGTGTTCAGTGGCTGTGAAATGTGTTGTACTTACAGTGGATTGAAATCACTGTTTGCAGTTTCAATATCATGAAGTAGTCAAGTCCAGACTTGAGAGCAACTTCTGTGGCCTTTAATTAAATATAATTCAGTGAAAGAAGATATAATCCACCTAGAGGAGGAGATCAACCACATTTATTTACTCCATTTACAAGTGCACGTTTTTGTACGAACACATTAACACTGTCACTGAAGCTGTAAGTGTTGTGTCGAGGCTTCTCCGTCGCTGAAGCTCAATTACAGCCAACGAGTGACTTCTGAGGGCAGGGAACTTGAAAGACGGGGTTATCACATGGTCATCTCAAAGCCAAAGTGCTTGCCATAGAACTATAGGGGTCGCGTGATGTTCAGATTGACGGATAGTGTGGCTGAAATGATCTTTCCTCTGACCTCTCAGTCATTATCATGCGGTTGCGGAAAAGATATTTGCGGTTTTGATTGGGATTTGTTTTCATCCCTTAAATTTGATGATTTTTAAACATAAATTCCCATTAAAAAAACTCATTCTTTTATCTACAGCGACCTCCTCTTTATTTGGTGGCCACAGATAAAATACAAAACCGTCTGCTCCTCTTCCTGAAAATTATGGGCAATTGTGTAATCATAATTATCGTGGCCGCTCACATAAGATGTAATGTGAATGTTTTTAAAATTCTTTGCAATGCATCATGTTATCACATTAACTCCATCTGGTCTCTGGGGTAGTAAAAAGTTAAATCCTAAATGGACAGGGAGGTCTTTCTGTGCAGCCCCCCCCCCCCGTTCAAGTTACATTGTACATTTATAATCCTTCCTCCCGTGCTGCGCTGCCCCATTTACAGCGCCTATATTGTCCCAGAGTGCACCTTGGCTGGACACAAACAGCTCCACTGGGGGCTTTTATGCCCACCACAATGTGGCTGAGCTGACACTTTGCCTGTGACTGGCCACCGCAACTGTACAGCACTGCTGCCATATTCTCAGGCCTCAGCCCGGCCACAAAAACACTATGGAGGGAGAAAAGAGGGGACATGAAAAAGAAAACAAGGAACATGATTGATGGTTTTGTTTGATCTTATTTTCTGCCACCCCAGAGCGGATGATTGCTGACTACTTATGTCTACGTGTCCAATTGAGGAGTAATTGTTCCTTCTGTGCATACCTGACAGGGGACATATGGCTTAACTGTCCTTTTGGGACAAATGAACGACCCCCCGCTTCCCTGTCAGAAGACCGAATGTTTTTCTGTCAAAAAGAAGTCAGATGTAATTATTTTGCAATGTTTGCTTTGGTTTCTCTGCGCAAGAAAAGCATCAATCTTGCAGAGCCTTTTTTTTTTCTCCCAGCCAGCCAGCACCAGAACATGCTATATATGCCCACATCATATTCCTATGGTAAAGCAGCAGCAGTTAAAAACGGAAAAATATAAATACACTGTGGTGCTCGCTCTGAATGCAGCCTCGACATGCATTATATTTTGGAAAATGCAGACACAAGTCAAGGCCACGTCTGTCCCACAGTTTCAGTGGCTCCGTCTTTCTGGGTCCCAGAACTTGACTGTCTGACAGAAAAGAAACAACTTAAGAGATTGGTCTAATGTTGCTTGGTGGAAGGATGCGGTGTCATTCAGAATAGAACCCATTAAAGTTTGGGGATCCAGGAATTTTTTCCACTTTAACATGGGGCTTTTTTTTTACGTTTTCACAAATTCCCCAGGGAATAATCCATGTATCTTGATGAAAAAAATCAGTACACTGAATGGGACTGATAACTATGAGTGTGTGGATGGTGCTGCTTATTTGAATTTAAGGGGACTGGTGGAGTTATGATCTTTACTGAGTGCCATTTTAGTTTCATAGGCATTCTGATAAGCACAAACCAATGATGAATGAATATTATTTTTCCTTCTTCTCGTCAGCAGAACAACATAAACGTAAAAAGCAGTTCCACGGCACATCTAGCTCCTGAAGACCGGCGGTCTGGTCCAGAACACCGGTTGGCCCTGCCCTGGGCACAAGGCAGCAACGTACACAGGGACGGCCCTGGCACTTTCATCCTAGATCTGCACAATTTCCCTGACCTCTCCAAAGCCGACATCAATGGACAGAATCCCAACATACAGGTGATCATGTGTGTCTGTGCACCTGCCAGTCTGCTTTGATGCTTTTCACTCACTTGTAAGACATGGCTACTCAAGCACACAGGACAGGAAGAGCAAACAGGAAGAGAGAGAATAGTTTGGTGCACATCACTACCCCCTTTTTCTCCCACCCCTTCCTCCTTTCCCTGTCTTCTTTCACACCTCCTGGCTCACAGTGAAGCCTTAGATACATACTGAGGTTTCACGTCCATCATAATGGCAGCTAAAAGGCAGATGCTAACCACCAATGCCTTACTACTGGTATGTGCAGGAAGTCTGATGACAGCTTATGTAAATGTGTGGCAAGCCCTTGCTCATAAGTCCCTTGGTGGTGCAGATGGCCGAGGGAACCGATGCCATATTTGAATCATTCTCCTGTCTAATCCAGTGAGGGGGTCTTTCCATCTATGAGAGCATCACTGCTAAATCCGAGCATGAACAAAGTGTATTAACATCTCAAGATGTGGGAAGAGAGCGGAGCAACCAATTGAGCAAGGGCGTGAGGCTGTGGAAGAAGGGGGGGGTTGTCTTTGATCCCAGGATTCATCTGGCTTTCATGGTCTGGAGGAGGCCGAGTAGCCCTTTGAACTTTGTGTTTAGGTGGAGAGGGGCCGAGAGGTGGGAGGGTGGCTGTGGGGCAGGGGTGGTGGTCCCCCCTCATCTGGGAGGCACATGTGTTAGGCCCGAAAGGGGGAAGGGGGTTAATATTGTGCGTAGGGGTATCAAAAAGTGTCACCTCACAGAAACCAACTGACCAATTCTGCCCTTAAAATTATATTTAAGTATCTTCTTTGATGATAATAAAATTGACTTCTGATCTTAAATACAGGTGACCATTGAAGTGGTGGATGGACTGGAGGGCCAAGAGCCAGAGAAAGGCCTCCGCAAGGAAAGCAAACCCAACTGGGCTTCTCCTAACTGGAGAAACTGGTGGCCTCGTACTTCGTCGTCCTCTTCCACTACTACTACACATCAAACAGAGGAGCATGATCGCTCCTACGGGAGTAACAGCGAGGACAGCAACTTCCTCAGGCCGCCGGCAGACTGGGACAGGAGAGGAGGCACCGGGGGAGGAAGCAAAGCTCAAGCTGAATATGGTGAGAGTGGCAGGAGGGTGTGTTCCGCATTTGCAAGGAAATGAGTGCACAATGCGTAACGCGGAATATTTAACAGGACCCACACGCCCTTATTTGAGCCCTGGTCGTTTCCACAGATGGTCATAGTCCGATGTGGAATCTGTAATTTGCAGATTTGCTGATTTAAGCTGTCACCATAATAAGTGCACTCATCCCAGGCGAGCCTTTGGGAGCCCCTGATTGAAGCCTTTAACACTCTTTTATGAGACGGATTCCTCTGTGGTGTGGAGCAAGCTACGTGACACAGTTTAGACGCATTGCGACATCAAAGTTCAGCGGCAGGAGTGGGGCCAGAAGTCCTGTTAGGCTGCCACACTGTTCTCACAACACTCTCCAAATGTAAGCCCACAGATAAATCTGCTGTGGAAGAATATACACTCACTGTCATACAGTGTTCGTCCGGCCCGTGTTGTAGCATGCCCAAACCAGCATGGTCGAACAGGAATGCATGTGCTGTGGAAAATATCATTTTATCCACTTGCACTTGCACTCTAGCGGTTAGGAAGGCGATTTTATAATCTTTTTTTTGCCCATGTTTCATGTTCCTGACTTATCACTGCGGGCAGCTCTCATTCATCCTTTATTTCATACCACACTAATGGACAAGGAAATATTTTATCATCATTACTGTCTTGGTTTTAAACCGAATAGTCATAATTGTGGACAGGCAGTGAGTGTCATCCATCACAGGCCCTCCATGATGCATTCAGTTGTGGGCTGAGGGAAGGTTATTAGCAAGTTTTCTTGACCAGCTCCTTGGCTGTAATAAGCCATGAAAGGGGGACAGGGGCAGTGCTACACAACTATCTGGCTTGTATTCATATAAAATGTTTATAATGAGGGGCAGATGGCAGTAGGGGAGGAGGGGGGTACTTCCAAACCAACATGCCCTCATATATTCTTCTCATTGATGGAGCGCTGCTTTCAAGATGCGCGTCTGCGTGTGGTGGCAATGGGTGACGATGGCGGTTGGGTGAGGTGGTCAGACAGCCTAGTGTTTCCATGTATAACCAATTACAGTGGTCTGCTCACAGATAATTGGAGTTAAAGAGGATTTCTCGCCATTTCACTTCCCATTTTCAAACCAATGAATCACACTCAGGACTGGATGTTGGTGGGATACTCCAGCGGCGCTGAAAGTTTTCTATTTGTAAATTGCCTCCTGCTGGATCCGCAGTAGCTTTATTGGAATTTGCAAAATGCTTTCCTGTTACTTAACTTACAGAACACACATACTGTGCTCTTTACCTTGGACTCAACAACTATGTGTCTATATGTGTGCGGGTATGTGTGTGTATGCAGACTTGCATGGTATCTGCTTTGAGGGACAAAGTCAAAGAGAACTTTGAGCCCTCCTACTTCCCCTTTCATATACCCCCCCCACTTATTATTAGTGAGGCATGCTAATAGGCCTCAGTAAGTTAAGCATGTGGCCTGCATCAGAGCTGTGGATCTCTCTCTCACCCCCTCTCTCTGATCTAGACTATATGGATGGAGAGGGTGACTGGAGTAACTGGTCAGCGTGCAGTGTAACCTGCGGAAACGGCAACCAGAAGAGGACCAGGTCATGCGGTTATGCCTGCACGGCCACAGAATCCAGGACTTGCGACATGCCCAACTGTCCAGGTAAAGTCTTGATATATATCACAAAGCAAAACAATACTCACCAGTAAAATAGCCATATGTGTAGTTTTCATCTTTTCACCTTTCACTGTTAATTCATCACTTTAAAGGTATCGAGGATGCCTTCAAGACAGCAGCGACTGAAGTCAGCCTGTTAGCTGGAACAGATGAGTTCAATGCCACAGAACTCTTTGGTGTCGGTAAGAATCTGCCTACTCTTGTCTTCTTGCAGACGATCCTTCATTCAGATGTTTTTACACTATCAAAGGTCGTTTATCCATCTGGCAGCAGAGTTTCCCGCACACATTTAGCATTCCTCATGCTGCTCGGGCTGTGGTTCATTACTGTGCAGAGATGAAAATGAGCAACAGGGCAGGAGGAGCACAGTGTGCCGCTGTCCACTCTGTCTTTATCTGTCTGCTCTTGTGTCTTCATTTCATACATTACGCTGGTCAGTGTTGGGAAGGAGACGTAGCATTTAATAGTGTCTTTGTTTCTTCCAGACACAGACAGCTGTGAGCGATGGATGAACTGCAAGAGCGAATTCCTGAAGAAGTACATGACCAAGGTGGCAAATGACCTTCCCAGCTGCCCTTGCTCTTACCCAACTGAGGTGGCATACAGCACAGCGGACGTACACGACGCCCCCACCCGCAAAGATTTCCGTTGGAAAGACGCAAGCGGACCAAAAGAGAAACTGGAGATCTACAAACCCACTGCGCGTTACTGCATACGTTCCATGCTGACGCTGGAGTCCACCACGCTGGCCGCGCAGCACTGCTGCTACGATGACAACATGAAGCTCATCACTCGTGGGAAAGGGGCCGGCACACCCAACCTCATTAGCACAGAGTTCTCAGCTGACCTGCACTATAAGGTGGACATCCTGCCCTGGATCATCTGCAAAGGGGACTGGAGCCGCTACAACCAGGCCAGGCCGCCAAACAATGGGCAGAAATGTCCCGACAACCCTCAGGATGAGGACTACTACAAACAGTTTGAAGAAGCAAGGGAATTCTAACTCAAACAGAGTGAAAGGAAAAAAGAACACTGCTCAAATATTCAGCTAAAATGGGGCTAAATAACAAATGAACTTTTAGGCTCTAAGGAACATAACTTCACTGCTCTGATGAACCAAGAGGAATAAAAACCCTTACTTTGTCACAAGGAACTTTTCTTGACTTAACCAAAACAGGCACAAAATAATGCTTTGTTTTTAATCTTTTTTTAAGAAAGTATGTAAGAAAGTAATTGTGTTGCCAATTATAACTCAGTCAGATTTGGTCAATAAAGGGAGAAGCAATTTTGGTATTCTTAAAAAGGGAAGCATATTATTCTAGGAATGTCCATTTAGATTGTGTCCGTGTTGCAATGAATCTGAGAGGCCTATGATTATAGAAAAATGAGTGTGTTGGGGTGGGGGGTGGGAACAGAGAACAGGGTATGAAACATTTTCTCCCATTTTTGTCAATTGCAATATCCAGGTTCTCATGTAAGCTTGTGACTATGTTTATTTAGCATGCACATTTTTTAACAACCATCTCCCTTGTGTCTCAGAGGCAGATCATTGTAAAAAGCCTGCATTATTTTTGTAAAGTATTTATTAAGCTGTAGCTGCGTCTGAGTTGGGCACCTACAATTGTGGTTTCTGATTCACACACTGAATGCCAACTTGAGATCTCTCGCTAGCCCAAACTTTGCCATCAATGTGCATATCCCCGTCTCAAGTTAGGATTAAACCATGATTGACCGTAAAGAATGTGTGAATTCAACTGTATGGAAAGACTTTTTTCAAAATATAAATCTATGAATAAATTTTTGTAAATGCCTATGAATGTTTTGCAAGAAGAAAATATGTGTATGTCTGATATTCAAAGTAAACATTGATATTTCAAGCAGACGTTTTATCAGCTGCTATGTGATTCCCCTCCTGCTGTCAGAGGAAATTCATCTGCAGGGGAAAAAACACCATCATATTTCGTCAATTAAACTCCTCTAACAGGCTTAAGCCAGCGCACAAGACTTCCATTAGTTTCATCCAGTGGGGCTTTCAGGCCTTTTGATGGGATTGTGATATTTCTTCAGAGGGTGAGGAGGGTAAGATTCCCTTGAATGTGACTCAAATTATTTGTCTTTGGCATGTATCCTCACATTCCTGAGTAATTTCTCAGTGTACGCATACCCGCACACACACTGCTTCAATGCTGCCTGTCCATAGCGGGGACCTCTGACCATTCCCTCTCCACCGAGTGCTTGCAGTCATTGTCACACAGAGAAAGCCATTCATGATGCCCTCATTCCTGCAGCCTTGTATACGGCACAGCTGCCCGGGTGCAGGGATTGTCTTTACAATGAAGCAGGCCCCAGCATGTTCCACATCCCCGAGGTGCTTACATGCAACTGCCTGGTTGCTTCACTAGTCATACAAAATTCCTCTGCACCCGTCATTCGGCACATTTGTCCCCAAAAACCTTTAATCAAGATCCCGCCCTCAAATGCTACCTGTAAATCACTCAGGTGCTCTTTGTAGAATGTGGATGACTCTCCCTCTGAACTACCAGACTGCTTGTAAAGCTCAGTTTTCAAGTCTTGTGTCCGTCTCTTCAATAAAAGCATGGTTCCAGGCTAAGATTACAGTAACTGGCACGGATCGTTATCTAAGCAGACCGTCTGCTGAACAGGCCACGAGGATCAAAGCAAGGTGTCCGTCTTTATTTCTGAAACATTAAGGCCAAGCTTAAATTGATGACATACGTCCACCCCCACCCCTGCTGTCGCCCTCGCTCACTCCTTCTGAGCCCAGTATCTCTTCTCCAGACAGGCTCCACGTGTCTCTAGAGCAAGCAATTACTGGTATACCCTCCTCACTTTTCATCTCTCATTTCTTCTCCCCCTCCCTTGCAAACTCTGACACGACTTGAAATGCGATTCCTGAGCCGAGGCGCAGGTAGGAATACGGGCACAAGATTTTGAGGCTGTGCATAATTGGTGTGAAAATGCACGAGAGGTCAGACACGCTTTGGACCAGCGAGTACAGGGAGTACAAACCCGTTTGGGTTGGCTGCTGGATGCATATGAGGCCTCACTTTTGTGTTACTATTTCCAGGACTCCACTCTGGTATGTTTCAAAGGATGCAAAGCATCATATTAGTGGTATATTGTCAAGGATCCGAAAGGGCTCATTAAGCATCACCAAGATATGATTGTTGGTATTTTGCCTCTATTTTTGTTATGAGAGGGAAATTGTGTCCAATGTACTTACACTGTTTTAGACCTAGTTTGACAGGGCTGTCTCTGGAACTTCTCAAATCTATACACAAGAGCTAACTGTGGGACTATGAAAACAAGAGGAGCTCAGAAGAACAAGAAGAAAGCAGTGGAAACTTGGATCGGTTAATGTAACAAATGAAGAGAAAGCTCAGTTGTTCTCCGGCTTATTCAACGAGAAATATTTAACTATTAAGAAAGTCCAGGTGGTTTGTCGTCCATACTGGAGCTTGGTGTTTTTGTAAGTAAACAACCAGGGAGCATGGTGGCAATGAGGCATCTCTTTTGTTTTGTGGCGTTTGCGGTTGCAGATGTGGCAGAACCATTTTTAGCCTCACACCCTCGCTTTCTGTCACTCACTCACTCCCTCTCGTCTTTTAGGGAGGTGGAGCACAATGCAGGAAGTGTCTGAGCCGCAATACCACAGGGCCCTAACTGCACGGCAAAGCTAATTAAAAGGTTTTTTGTAAGTCTTCTAATCTGCAATAGTTGACCTGGACCAGGAGGCTTCTTATCTAGCCGCACTGTCCCTCCCTCTCGACCGTCACCACCCCCAATGTCCTACCACCAAAACAGGGGTGGGGCCCGCTGGCACTACTCCTGCCGCGGGCTTGCATCTTTGACACAGCGAGTCAGGGGAGGAGGAGAAGGTAGCGGGGGTAAACATGTGCCTGGGTGTGCAGCTGAACAAACAGGTCAAGTAGCTGTGGAGCATCTGAGAGGGGCAGAGTGCCTTACTTAACCCCTGCTGCCAGGACATTGCTGAGATGCTGCTGGGACAAAGCACATAACTAAATGCTCTGATTCACTTGGACATTCAGATTCACCATGTCATGAACTTCATCTTGTTAGAGATGGCCATCGTGGGCTGAGTGGTTGTATAATAAATGGATAATAAAAGAAAAACAAAAACATGCACCCGCTCATAAATTCATACACACAAAGCTGTCGGATAAATGAGGACAACAGAGGAAAAATCTGCTTCGCCTCCTCATAAAAGAGTTGTTACACTCAGTCATGCTTTTCATTGCGCTAAACATATGTTGACGGATGTACCACGTTTTATATGCTCTGCTAGCATCATGTGCTGATAGAAGTATGAGGAAATCAGTTTCATTCTAAAAAAAAAAAAACCCACACTTTTAAACGAGGGAAACCAACGGATCATTAGATAGTAAAGTACTATATATTTTGAGTCCCCAATGATTTCATGATGAGAAACTAGAATGTCAATCGGTAGAGTACAAACATCCACCAAAGCCCAACAGTCCTCTTATGAAACCACATTTACATTTACTAGATCTGGATTTGGATCTGCACCAAACTGAACACACTCATAGATGTAAGCCTGATTTTGTTCAGCACAATGTTAGAAGTGAAAAAAAAAACTCCTGGATTTGACCCATGATCCAGATCCACGCCAAAATCTAATGGGTTCTTCAATTACCCATGACCACATCCTTCTACCAAGTTTTGTGGAAATCCTTTTAGTTGTTCTTCTGTAATGCTGCTAACTAACAGAGGCAATGAAGCAAACGCAAAGGTGAAATTCTGCACTGTTCAAGGCCAGAGAGAATGAGTCACTACACTACACACATTGAAATGCTCAACAAATATACAAATAGATATATATAACCTGTCTTGTGTGTTTGTTGTTAGACACTGGCACAGAGCTGGCTGTAACAGTGTAAAGGGGGTTGGTGGCTTGGGGGGAAAGGGGGGTGGTGGTGTCAGCGTGAGCACGGAAGCTGCATGGCCGTGATTCACTGTGACAGCAGCGCTTGGCATGTGAGGACAGCAGGCCAGGCAGGCAAGGCTGCTGCTTTGATCTTTATTTGCTCCACCGTCTGTTTTGCATTTAAGAGCCTTGCTGAGCGCAAGGCATTGGATACACCTTGAATGGCTCAGGACCCCTTCCACTTTTTAAAGACCCGAGATTCTTTTTCAAAGCTCAGGGGATCCAGGACAGAGAGCGGCGATGTTTGAAGGGGACGGTTCTGCAGCTGAATAGGGCCCAGGGTTTCCCAGCAACACAGATTAGCTCCAGAGGAGGGGGGGAGAAAAGAGGAGAGTGCTCTGTAATAACACATAATCAAGCTAATGGAGGATGGTGTGAGTGTGGGTGAGGGGGAAAGGTAAAACACATCTCCCTTCAGATGGACCCTCAAGATCAAACCGGGGGTCAGGCGGGCTGTGGAGCAAAAACAAACATGCTCAGCACCTCCCCTAGCAACACTCGGTCACGTCTTCTGACCTGTCAAATACATTTTGCGCGTCAGTGATGTCAAAAGACCGTGACATTTTACACCTGAGAGCTAAACCAGCTGGATATCATCAATACTATCCCGCAAGCAGACGTGATGCACTGACAGGGAGGCATCCCTCTCTTCAAACAGTGAATATATTTATCTTCCTCAACATCTCTATTGCACATTCCTCTCAAGACTCTACAGTGGTCACGATCCAGAGCCAGCAGCTGGACTAACTCTTGCAGGAGAGCTTGATATTAATAACTGCCCTCTCTCTAATCTGGAAACCTGTAAAAGTATATTTACGAGGAGTCAGATCAACCAGCTCACGAGAAAAGAAAATTCTGATAAACTCGGGACAGGAATTGAAAAACTATGGTTATGTAAGACACACATTTTAGATGAGAAAAAAAATCTGATATGTCAAAAAACAGTAGCTCAGAAAAAAACCTTGTGTGTGTGTGAGTGTGTGTGAGTGTGTGTGTGTGTGTGTGTGTGTGT